GCGCGAGTGCGGTCGGTTCGCGGTCAAGGAGGGGCGGGACCCCCTCGTGGCTCGCGCGCGCGCGCGCTTGCAGGCGTCCGAGTAGGCATGGGAGCCGCACGCGTTCGCGCTCGCACGGCGGGCACCATAGTACAGGCTTCGGTCCCAGGACCGGGGTCGGGCTGGTGCGGACCGAGGCGCCGCCTTTGGCAGTCCACCAATGGTCAAGGGGTTTCCCCCCCCCCCCCCCCTCCGACTACTTCCCCTCGCCCCGGGCTGGCGGCGACTTAGGCGGGGCTGAGATCCGTCCTGCGATGCGGGCGAGGGGAGGTGGGGGGTCTCTGGGATATAGCATCTGCGCGCCATGGCAGGCTCGGATCGACGCCAGTCGCCAGTCTCTGGGCGCACTCGCCCGAGAGACGCTAGAGAGGGGTGTCGCGCTAACGTGTCACATGCACATGCGCGGCGCCTCGGTTTTGCACTTAATGTGACGAACTGTACCCGACAAAACCCGCCGACGGAGCCCGAGAGCCGAAAGTGGTGCAGAGCCCGCAGAGCCGAGTATATATGTACACACACATGTGTGACCCACGATGACGTTAAGACGACGGACAACGGAGCTCGGACCTTGGAGGCACGGTCCACGGAGGAGAGGCGCACGCCACATGAAGCCTCTGGAAAAGGCACGCTCAGAGACTGAGTGACTCGAGTGTCAACACCAGTACAGACACAGCTCACGCACCTCAGACCTCGCAGTATAAGAATCCAGGGCAGACATTGTGCAGCATTCACATCAGTGCGTCTCATCCCCCGACCCGGTCAGGGTCGGCGGCTCACCCTTAGGTGCAAAGCCGCTTGGGTGGGGGGGGGGAGGGTGACTCCGGCCGCTGCACGCCCAGCCGGACGAGCGCCCGCCCAAAGCCCGCGCGCTCGAGCACGGTGAGGTGCGTGCCCTGCTGGCGGCTGTCGCCGCGCAGCCGCTTGAGCTCCTTCGCAAACGCCGTCTCGCATGCAAAGCGGTACAGCATTCCCCGCGAGGCCAGGTCGCAGAGGCGGGAGGGGTTGGGGCACGAGGGCGGGGTGGGCAGCACGCACGGCGGCATCTCGGGCTGCAGCAGCGCCCACGCCTCCCACGGCGGGGGGCACCCCGGCTGCAGGTCGCATCGCTCAAACATCTTGCCGACTGCCTTGCAGCCGCGGTGGTTGCGGAGCGTGGTGGTGAGCTCGTGCAAGATCTGCTGCGGGCCGTCGAGGAGGCTCTGGACGGCGTCGGAGAAGGCGCCTGGCAGCGCGTCGAGCCCCTCCGTCTCGATGTAGTCCTTGAGCCCGTACGTCACCTTGACCTCGTGCTCCGCGGCAGCGCGCGTGAGGTAGGGCGGCAGCGGCGGCGTGTGGGCGGCGGCACGGCGCTTGCGGCGGCGGCTTGGGGCTGGCGGAGAGGCGGGGGCGGCGGCAAAGAGGGCCTGGCGCAGCTCAGGCACCATGGCCAAGTCCGCCTCCGTCGCCGGGCGCAGGATGAGAGGCAGCCGCCCCGCGCTCGGCTGCGTGCGCGGGAAGGACGCGACGATGTAGGTGCCGCGCGGAAAGATGAAGCGAGCGACGGAGGTGCCGTCGGCGTCGCGCTCGTGCTGCATGCCCGAGAGGTCAACGTTCATCGCCACGAGGATGGGCCCCAGGTTGACGATCGAGTTGCGGGCGACGCCCTCCGCGCCGCCGTCAAAGCCGGGAAGGACGCCGCCGCCGCCGCCGCCGCCGCCGCTGCTGCTGCTCGCGCCCGCCGTGGCCGCGTCGTCGTCGTCGTCGGCGCTGTCGAGGAGCTCGGTGATGTCCTTGTCGAGGTTGAGGGGCACGTCCTCCACCCCCCCCACCCCTGGCGCCGACCCGCGGCACGAGGTGCGGCACATGGGGTAGAGGGTCTTGCTCAGCGCGTAGACGTTCACCTCGCCCTTGACGTTGAGCGGCGTGAAGGCGACGCCGTCGATCGCGTTGGACGCGATGGCGGCAGCGATGAGCTCGGCGGTGCGCACCTTGGAGAAGCCGAGCAGGGAGATGTCGGGCACCGTCAGGAGCACGGTCCGGCCCTCGTAGAGGACGTTGCGCACGCCGAGGAACACCAGCAGAGGGTACGTGTTCGGCGCGCGCTCGCCCAGCGCATCGATGCGGTCGGTGACCTCGTGGCCGAGGTCGCCCACCTCGAGGTGCACCTTGGTGGAGGCGTCGAGGTAGGTGCCGTGCGCGTGCCGGATGAAGCGTGCCTGAGCGAGAGGGGGGGGGGGGGGAGGGACGGGGGGGAGCGGGTGAGCTGCTATGGGTAAGGGTCATCGCCGCGCCGCAGTGTGTGCCAGGAAGGCAGCCGAGTCGAAGTG